CTGATCTAAAAGGTACATCAGGGTGTCGTAAGGAAAAAAAAGTTCCCAAACAAATTGGATTTTTTTCAGATTTACCAACTTTTTGCATTTCATCAACATACAAAAACACTCAGAAGACATGTTTAGGTTCACTGGTGGTTCTGGATAGTAAATAAAATGGTTTTGCTGCATTAAAGACACTGTAAGCCTTGATTCCTATCATGAAATGTTCAGAAAACAGAACCAAACAGTCCAATCAAAACAAGCCATGCCAGACATTCTGTTAACAGAGAGTAGCGGTATTCAGGAAACATAGGCCTTATGTTTACCTTATTAATGCTTAAATATCATGTGACATTTTAATACCATGATATAGTTTTAAAATATTGCAGTACTGAATTTTATTGCTCCCACTTAACACTATTTCAGATATAATTATGCATCCCTAGCAGTCAGGAATTAGCCCAAAGGGCAGGCTAGTTTTAGACACTGCAACAACAGCAGCTTTCAAACAATGCCAACTCCGGAGCACCACACCTACATCTTACAACACCCATATTTGTCTGTTAACAGCTTTCCCCAGGGCACCAGTGGAGCTGTGTCAGCAAATCCTGATTAGTGCCGTGAGCAACTTTGGAGGAAAAAACACTGCACAAACAAAAATCTTTTTTTTTTTAGTTTATTTATAAGTTACATTTTATTTAAGTTTCTAAAAGCACTTGCTTAAGCAAGCATTCATGCTAACAAAAACAGGACCTTTCCAGGACAAATTCCAGGAAAATTTCCATTACATATACACAACAGCTGCTGCTCATGAAATGTCACCTTACAACGATGCACAGCAACTGACACTCCTAACACCGAAGTCAGCAACACAACCTTTAACTACTCCTTACTGTCTGAGAGCTGCAATGACACACATTCACCCACACCTCCTTCAACCAATCATCATTTCAGGTATCAGCTTTAACAACCGGCCTGTTGCTAAGTCGGGACAACAGCATTGAAAATCACTTGCCCACTTGGGCAGGCTGCCTTTCTGATGTTTTTAGGACCCAATCGATCAGGTGAACAACACATTTGATATTGTCTTCATTTGCTTTTATATCCAAACACTACCTCGCCACTGCGGTCTAATCCAGTTTAATCTCGCCTTTTTGCAGTGCGAGGCATCACTGATAATGCCAGCATATGTGACAAAACTTCTAATAACATTTTATTCTTTAAAGATGCACTATGTAAGATTTTTTTTGTTAAAACTGAAAGAGGTAGCATTACGGAGTCAGTAGGGAATGAAGGCTAAAATATGGTGTGCGAGCACTGCTGCACGTCGCCCTGTAAAGCCTGAAATAATCATTTAAAATTCAGACATGTGGAGTCAGGAGTTTTTACACCACAGCTCAAAAATAAGGTCCGGCTCGATGTTTCGGCCTCAAATGCAACATCGACATTATCCTGATGAAGATATGATGATAACAGTAGAAAATTCACTCACATCCTTAGACGAAAAGACGTCATTTATCAAGTTTTGACCAAGTTCTCTTTTTTTGTTTTCCCCCAATTTTCTCCCCAGTTTAGTCGTATCCATTTCCACCCACTAGTTAGGACTCCAATCACACAACACCACCAGGAGGGCAAAAGCACAGGTTTCCTCCAAGTCCTGTGAAGCACCACTGCATCTTTTTGAACTGCCGCTAATGCAGTGTTATTTGACAGCTGAATGCGCTCGGAGGAGAACACTAACCGCCAGATCTGTTATGTCAGCTAACAGACGCCTGCGTTAGCGCTGAGTGATATTCTTACCCACCCAGAGAGGGCGAGGCCAACTGTGCTCTCTTGGACTCCAGCCACAGATGGTTGTAGTTGTAGTCACCACAGAGTTCTTCAAAACTTACATAGTGCGGTTTTAAGAAACTTTACTTCCTCACTGGAAAATTTTTCTAGGGTCAATTTTGACCCATCCATACTACAGACGTACTGTACAGTGTTTAGGTCTTAAGTAGACAAACAAAACCAGATCAGTGCCATTCAGGTTACAGAAAACACTGCACAAACACTTTACACTGTTATGAAGTACCTCTCAACACCATCTCTGTACCACACAACAGTGGTATTAATTTATATTACAGAAGACACTCAAGCCTTCCCTCTCTCCCTCTCTCTCTCTCTCTCTCTCTCTCTCTCTCTCTCTCACAAAAATAATTACAAACAATACAAACCGTTTGTCCTAGAAAAGTTATTTCTTTAAATCTTATTTACACCTGAACAGTGTTTTTAAAGGCAAACTATCACTAATTTTATTTTCATAATAAATTGATTTCCCCGAAAAAGTTATTTCTTTATACTTATGACTGAAAAATGTTTTTGAAAGCAAAATCTAAATAATTTTATTTTAATAATAAGTTGATTGCCCTTGAAAAGTTACTAATTTAAAGCTTATTTATATTCGCTAAATGTTTTTAAAAGCAGAAATATGTTCAGGACAGTATAAACTCCTTTCAGGTCAGTAAACTCTCGGTTCACTTACCTAATTGGGCAAGGTTCACGTTGAACCCTGTGTTTGATCACGAGTCACAAAAATATTTAAACTGACCGTTACAACCTGCAAGAAACTCACACAGCGTTCACATATCTGTCCACACGCAACTCTAGCATTACTACTACAAACTACAATACATATGAAAGGCATCTGCAGCTAAGAATATGCTAAAATGTGCAATCTCTGTGATTTAATGGCCCAACTTTACACTTTTCTAGGACTTCACTAATTTAAAACCTAGTCTACAAATTCTGAGTTTTTCCAGGACGTATGGAACCCTGAAGGTAACATCCCCGCCAACATAAACAACACAGGCTGCTGGACTGGGGGGTAACGGGCTATGGGACATGTCCAGTTCTTTACAGTGTACGCTGTGGCAGAGAGACAAAGCGAGATGAGTAAAGATCCAGATGTTTAAGAGGACACAGACAAAGTGACTGGAAGATGAGCATGTTTTCACGCAGAGAGAAGACAGGTGAAAAGACAGGAGCAGAGGAGTGCAGATGAGCTCCTGCAGCCGGCCTTCGCTCAGAGACTCGCCTGCAGTCACCTGCAGCAGCTCAGGGAAATGCTGCCCCCGTGTGACAGCTCTGGGTATCACATCATGTTTCCCACGCAGGTAAATGCGGGTGACGGGACAGTGTGAAAACATTCTATCATGATATCAGAGACAAAAACTATACAGGCCGTCAAGATTACTTGATTAACCTCCTCAATTAATTGTCAAAGATAAGTTAGTCGTTTACATAATGGTCATGCATATTTAAAATATTTCTACGTCTCAATCTTTGTGTACATATTACGCAGCCATTTATATGAATTTTTTATCGCAGCATTTATTAAATGAACAGATGTTATAGGTTTAACTATTTACAAGAAAGTGTTTGGATTTTTTTAAAGGCTATGCAGTTTGTTATTGTTCATGTACACCGTCTGGCCTCCTTTTAAAACTCTAAATACTAGATTAACCATCAAAATATCGGTCAGATTACTCGATTACTAAAATAGGAGAGAGGAGCTGGTTAGCATTAGCTTAGTTAGCATGCTAACAGCTCAGCTCACCGCAGAACATGTTCTATTCCGGTTAACTAAAGCACTGATAATGCTTCAAATCTGAGGGAGTAAAGTAGAACAGCCGGCGCTAAAGGGACAGAAAGGAGAAATAAAACCTGCTCTGTGTTGTTTGGATCTGTGGCCTGATCAGCTAACTTAACATTAGCTTAGCAACCAGGCTACAGACTCAAACAGCACCACATACCACAGCACAGGTTTGATTCTGACTGACTGCTGCTCTGCTGACACGAGTGTAGATGATAAAAAAAAAACGAATGTCCGAGAGGTAAAGCTGAGTGAATGACAGCTAAAACTGAACCTGTTCTGTGGAGTTCTGGACTGTAGGGTTTTGGCTAAGCGAACAACAGCTTAGTTAAGAAGCCAAATGTGCCACACACACAGCACAGACTGGTTTCCAGCTTACTAATGCTAAAATGACATCTGTTTAGCAGACATCTGAGAGCGGTGAGTGGGACTGACTGGTGACAGAAAGCCCAAATCGAGCATGTTCTGTGGTGAGTGGAGCTCTTAATCATCGATGAGTCGCTATCATGCTAGTTTTTCAAAGGGTTTTCCTGTCTCTGCTTTCTCCCTTCGTTTTATCAATGTCACCTATCAGTGAACTCCCTCATCACCATTCAGGGACCTTTCTAAAATATAAATGGGTGGAATGTGTTTATATATATTCTGTTCATGTGTGTACATATATATATATATATATATATATATATATATATATATATATGCACATATCCCTGTTGTCAGAACAAAACCTTTTATCTCCATTTTTGCCATTTTTCAGTTTTTGACATAATTTGAAAATGCCTGTTGAACTTTACACTGTGTGTAAATTTCATGAAGAATGGACCGAAAGAAACGGCCCAAAATGACTTGAAAAAAAGTCTGGTTCCATTGACCTACATTAAAAGTGGATTATGTGTTTTCCTTCTCCTGTAAAGTTCTCATTTTTGGAGATACAAGGTTTTGTTCTGACAGCAGAGATACATACATACATGACGTATGTGTATATATATATATATATATATATATATATACATATATATTATATATATATATACACACATTAATTTTAGTAATAAATATACAGTGTAATGTTCTAAAACAAACTATTAAAAAAAATTGATGCCCCTTGATGCTTCACAACAGCCAAGACTGCACCGCAAATCTAATACATACAGTATGGACCAAGCAGTTACAAGCTAATAAAGCATATGTATGCAACGAAACCACTGGAGTCTAATTTCTCCACATATACTGGAATCGTGCAAAAAAGTAAAGCTAACAAAATGCTTTGTAGCTTTTTTTTCTTTTTGGCCATCCGCTCACTACAAACATCATACTTCGGTCCCTAAAATTTGGGCACCCATGTTCTAATGCAAACTCTCCCCCTGTAGGTGCAGTGGTGTACCTGAAGGAGCCTCCCCCGGGGTCGTTGAGTTTGTTCTTCGGGGTCCCTGAGAGCTGGACGGGAAGCGCTGTGGGGCTTTTACTCGTCTGCACAACTGGACATTTCCCTACAGCACCTGGACAAAAGAAGCAGGGAAATTATTAAGTGATGAACCAAATCATCTGCAGCTACGGTGTTTTATATAAGCTAACTTCACTGTCTTTTTCCACACGTTATTATTTTCACACTTTCCACAACAACCCAGTTGAAAAAATAACTCAAACACTTCTGACTGTACATGTTTTCAGGTGATGTTGTCAACTTTTGCACTTTGTGTTTACGTCCTGAAGTCTCCGCTCTGTGAGTTTGTGTAAACACTAGGGCTGTCAAACAATTAAAAGAATTAACTGTGATTAATCCCATTATTTTGTTGCTTATTTTTAAAAATTTAACCCTAAAGAAAAATCATTTAAAAAGCAGAGCATTTTGTTATAGTTAAGTAAACAGATAAAATAAGCTTAATCAGAATGAATTTATTACAGTCAATGATTCAAAAATACACAAGAAACACAGAACCAGAACATGAAACTCACAAGAACGCAGGCTGAACATGATAACAAGCCAAACGTAGTTTCTGATTTTCATCACCTACATCCACTGAGACAGTGGCTGGATGCTCCAGCTCCTCCACGACAGGCCCTTTTCACAAGAAACGAAAGGGCATAAACGCTCAGTAAAATAAGTTCTGCTTTTGCCTTATGGACAGTTATTACCCTCAGAAATACAGGCGTTCGGCTCACCATGGAAAGGCGTCTCACTTTATCTTTGTCATAGTTGTCAAGATTGAAATTCAAGGATGCAGAATGTTTGAAGAAACAAACAAACAACAATGTGGGAGTCCAAACTAAATAAAGGTGGTAAATGCTTTATGGAAAAATTCCTTCACAGCTATCAGAGTACAGTAATGTCAGCTAACATCTACTAAGGGATGAATCGATGGAGGTGAAACTACTATAATCAAAACGCTACATTAGCCATGTTAGCTAGAGATGCTGACACAGCTCACTTACAATAAACTAGTTGCCAAAAAGCTAAAGACGCACACATGCCAGCAGGGGGCGCTTCAGGTCGTCAGGGTCCGTAGCGCCACTGTAGACGTTTTACCCACACACCGGCTCCAGCGAACATACATCTACCCGCTGAGCACCCGCTCTCTCAGATACTGCCAGTTTTAAGGGGGAGAAAATGAAAACTGTTCCTCTGAAAGCGGCTTCAGCAGCAACTTTAAAGCATGAAGTGCTTGTTAACGTTGGTCAGCAGTGCTGAAATGCAGACACAGAGGTTCTTTTCCTCCGTATGACAAAGTTTATTCTTTTTCCTCTGCTCATTCTCAGCTGAGATAAATTTGTTTTTGCTTCAAACTCAAACACTTTAGTAAGTTGTACACATTTTAGTAGTCATCGTTGTTACTGTTATTGCTTTACCGGAAGCAGCGTTAAGAGTCCTTTCAGGAGAAAAAATGAGAAAAGAGCCTATTTGTAGCTTCTCACTCTCATAGTGCATGCCTTGCTTTAAAGGAACCTGTAGCTCTCACCCTTCTGTTGCTTTTGTTAGTTTGCTGCTTGTTTATTTATCCCTAGTTCTCCAACGGACACTGTCCAGCGTAGTCTGCTGAAAGCGTCCTCCTGTGCCAACTTTACTGACGTTACTGATAAAGACGGCATCAGCACTGTATTTAGTTGATTCACCACATCCTTCAGTGATGAAATTTACCAGTGCAGTAGCTGAAAATAAGTTCGGTTTTATGAAGGAAGCCTTTAATGAAATGTCTTGTCATTTAAAGAACAGGAGGACTACAGTCTCAGAGTCACAGCAACACTGCAATCAGCTGGGTTTTAGGCTGGACTATGGATAGCTTAAAGGGTCAAACTCAAAATGTGTAAACGGCATCAAAAACTTAGTGACGTTAATAGTTTATCGTGTGAGAGCACTATTGACACATTAACTTTGATACCACATGCTGTATGTGCAGAGTTTGTTTAATGTTCTTTTGGTAGTTAATTCTATGGGGATCAACTAAACCATCTGAATTTCTCTCTGGGGATCAAAAAAGCAACCATATAGGAAACAGTGCTGATTTGCATATTTGTGATTTGTACTCACTGCTTCCTTCTGCTACTCTACTATAGTAAAATTACCAGTGTGATGGGGTCTCTGTTTGGTTTAGGTGAGTTGATGAAAAGTTCTGATTGTGTGCTGAATGATATTTACACTATGTTACACTATTTCTTCAGTGAATTCAGAATTTCAGAAAAAGGACAGTGGTCAGTTCCCTCGATTTGAGGTAATCAGGTCAGCCAAGGCTTTCAAGCAACCAGTTCTGTCATCATATTAAGACGATTGCTTTGGTTTGCACTAGGGGTGGGAATCTCTAGGCACCTCACGATTCGATTCGATTACGATTCAGAGGCTGCGATGCGATTATAAAAGATTATCGATGCATCTTTTTTTTCTATATAGCATTTATATTTTCTCACTGTGTGAGCTCAAGTTTCGAGTTCAAGTTTCAAGTTTATTTGTCACTTATACAACATGTCAGGACATTTATGCACTGAAATGCTTGTGGTGAGGCTCAGATAATCACTCTACAGAAAGTAAATAAGTAAAAATAAAAATACAAGAAAAACTAACTGACATATATTAAATATACACAGAATATAGAGACAATATACATTTTAAAGTGACTGAGAGACTCGGTGTTGTTATTTAAAGTGACTTGGTACTTTTAAACCAAAGTATCTGTAATGATCCATAATGAATTTACTTCCAATGTCTTTTTTAATAAAACAAATGGAGGTGATGTGGTTAGTGAACTAGATGGCTCTCATTCACTGCTCTTGTTTGGAGCATGAGAAGCTGCTGCTACTCATCTGTGATAAAATGCGCAGTTACGGTGAAATAAGATCCAGTGGTGATAGATGTCAACGCAGCACATGTTACACCTGTCCTACCCGTTTTATTCAGTGATTCCATAACTTCTTTTTTGGTCTCGTTGTAGAAAGTGGGGGCATCACTGTGTCAGTAAAATATCTTCGAGACAGGGCGTGTGCAACATAGCGCGAAAACCCTGTTTCACAACAACTGAGAACCGGCGTGCAGACTGCAGGTCACATAGCAGTGATGCGTTATTCGCATTCATAAGCAGCGCAGTTGGTCTCCTGGTACGTTAAATCTTCAACGAGAGACTGTCACACACTAAAAAGCAGTGAAGCTGAAGTCGCTTCTCTTTCGAATTCTCCCGTTCCACCTTATATTCTCTTTTCAGTTAAAACAATGTAGACAAACCTGCCAAATAAAACTGTAGTGAATAATAAATAGACAGAGTTAAACATGTGGCTGTTTATTAAGGGCGATCCATCCATCCATCCATCCATCATCTAAACCGCTTATCCTTCTGGGTCGCGGTGGGGTGCTGGAGCCTATCCCAGCTGTCATCGGGCAGAAAGCAGGATACACCCTGGCCAGGTCGCCAGTCCATCGCAGGGCAGACAAACACATCCACACACTCACACCTAGGGGCAATTCAGCATGTCCAATCAGCCTGACTGCATGTTTTTGGACTGTGGGAGGAAACCGGAGTACCCCCACGCAGACACGGGGAGAACAGACAAACTCCACACAGAAACGACCCTGGTCACCCGGCCGGGAATCGAACCCAGGCCCTTCTTGCTGTGAGGCGACAGCGCTACCCACTGCGCCACCGTGCCGCCTGCAGAGGGCGATGACAGCCTTAAATTGAACTTGAAATGGGAGTGATACTCCTCGTTCAACAGCAGGGGGCGCACTCACAAAATTCTTGTTCGATCGATGTTACTAAAATGTCCACTTCACACTTTTGTTTTTGCCAATGTTTTACCAAGGTTTGCCAAGGTTCTCCTAATTTGAATTAAGATGCCGTAAGTTAAGATATATTTAAGCAACAGAACACGAGAGGGAGTGTGTTATCGCGAAATAACACCACAACCTCGAGTGTTCTATTGCTTTTATACAACAGTTAAATAAATAAAGTAATAGATTAATAAACTGGGCCGTGAACGCGGCGTTTAATATGTCTTAATGTTCGCAGTTCCTTCACCAAATTATAGTTCTTTAACAAGCAGCTCATTGCTACGTCAGAGTAACGAGCTCCGCCCACTCGCTGCGCAGCCGGCAGTTCGTTCTCCAGCTCCTTACACTAAATTCCCAAACTGTCATCACCACTGAGCAGCTTTTCAGTCGGCAGCTGAGACAGAAGAACAGCTGAACAACCTGGAATCAGCCAGAAATGAACCCAATACCATTCGCCAAACTAAATGGGCTGTAAGATGCTTTACAGACTGGCTGCAACAAAACAACATTAATACTGATCTGGCAAAAACTGACAAAACTGAGCTGAACTTGATATTGCAGCAGTTTTATGGCTCAGTCTGATTTGGTCAGACTCTGAAGATCAGACTACACATTTGGCGAATGGTATTGGATTCATTTCTGGCTGATTCCAGGTTGTTTAGCTGTTCTTCTGTCTCAGCTGCCGACTGAAAAGCTGCTCAGTGGTGACGACAGTTTGGGAATTTAGTGTCGTCTCATCTTCAGAGTCTGACCAAATCGGCCGGTCAAATGTGATCTTGGAAGTGTCCATTTTCTGTTTGTGGCAAAGTAAGAAGTAAAAACGTTCAAATGGTTTGAGCGTCTCCTACAGCTGTCAAAGTCGTTGCTTAGCAACAGCGTCTCAGAGGAGTGTTTGTGAAAAACCTGTGATGTTACAGCGAAATAACAGCACAGTTAGAACGCTGCTCAACCAATCAGCTTGCGTGGCCGGAACTGACTGTTGTATAATTCCTAAATAAAGAATTTCTGTAATTGGAATTTGTTAAAAAATCTTGACCTGTCAGATCTTAATTTAAGACTAAAGATATGATAATAAGGCGCATGTGCACCACGGCCATCTCTACAGCTGTGACAGCTTAATGGCCCTAATAAAATAATAACTCTGGAACACTTTTACAGTAAATCTACCCTGAACTGTGAGTTTCTTTGGGCAACACCTGATAAATAAACAAGTAAACAAATAAATGTATTGACAGCCTTGACTCAGTCATTCGGTCTCTCTGCAGGGAAAGAGAAAAAGACAGACCTATCAGCCATTTATCTCTCTTTCCGTGCCTGCGTTTATCCGTTTATCTCATTCTACCCCTGTGTCTGTTTCCATTCCCACTCTGTCTCCTCTCCTACTCCATCTTTCCTCTTATCTCTCTCTCTATCTCTCTTGCCTATCTCTCTCTATCCCTTTCTTTTCTCATTTCTCTTCTATCTGTCCCTCTCTATCTCTTTCTTTCTTATCTTTTTGTTTCTTCTCCCTCTCTCTTCTATCTCTCTCTGTCACTTCTGACTATCTGTCTATCCTTCTCCCTTCTATTTTCAATCCTATTTGTCCATCTGTACATCCTATCTTTCTTTCCTATCCTTCTTTATTTTCTATCTCTTCCCTCTCTCTTCTATCTCTCTTCTGTCTCTCTCTCTTCATTTGTCTTCTTTTTTCTTATCTGTGCTTCTCTCTCTATCCTTTCTATCTCTCTTTTTGTTATCTTTCTCTTTATTTTCTATTTCTCTTCCCTTTCTCTTCTAGCTCTCTCTTCTGTCTGTCTCTCTATTCATTTCTCCTCTTTTTCTCCTATCTGCCCCTCTCTCTATTCTGACTTCCTATCTTCATTTTATTTATCTCCCTTTCTCTGCAATCTATTTTCTTTCTCCCTTTCTCTTCCATCTCTTCGTCATCTGTCTATTCTCCTCTCTTTCTTTCCCATGTTTCTTTTATTTTTTATTTCTCTTCCCTTTCTCTTCTATCTCTCTCTAACCCTTCCTCTTCTCTCTTTTCTCCTCTGTCCATCTCTCAATCCTGACTTTCTCTGCTACCCATCTCTCTTTTTCTATTTCTCTCGCTTTCTCTATTTTTTTCTTTCTTATCCATCTCTGTCATCTGTCTATCGTCCTCCTTTTGTCCTTTCTTTTTCATCTGTCTAACCCTGTCCCTTTCTCTTCTCTTACTTTTATCTACCTCTTTTTCTCTATCTCTCTCCCTCTGTCCTCTCTTTCTCTTTTACATTTCTCCCTTTATTTTCCATCTCTATCCCTTTCTTTTCTCTGTCCTACTTTCTCTTTTACTTCTATCTCCCTTTCTCTTTATCACTCTTTTTCTCTCATCTATCCCCCTTCTCTTTCTTTCTCTTGTCTCTCTCCCTTTCTCTTTTCTCTCGTTCTTATCTGACTCCTTTTCTCTCCTATATCTCTCTCCCTCTATCTTATCTCTCTTCCTCTTCTATCTTTCTCTCTTATTTTCATCTCTCCCTTTCTCTTATCTCTCTGTCCTACTCTTTCTCCTTTACTTCTGTCTGTCTCCCTTTCTCTTTACCACTCTCTTTTTCTCTCCCATCTATCCCACTTCTCTCTCATTCTCTTCTATCTCCCTTTCTATCCTGTCTGTCACATTCTCTCTTTCACTCCTGTCTATCTCTCCCTCTCTCCGTTTATTCCTTCTGTATATCCCCTTATTTGTCCCATCCATCCACCCGCGGTCTCTCCATCTCTCTCCTTCTCCAGGTTTGTGTCTAGAACATCATTCTGTCAATACCACTGCACTTCACAGCTTCCCTCAAGTTTATTCCCGAACGCCGGCCCTTCCAGACACTCTCTCTCTCTCCCTCTCTCTCCCTCTCTGAGTGGACGTGGATGTGATTTTAGCAGGCATGTTCCTCGCTCAGAGCCACTGCAAATCGTATTTTTAGAAACTTTCTCCCTGAAACCTCAATTTAAGGGCCAGAACACACACCGTATGCGCGCACACGCACAGCAAGGAGCACGAGCAGAGATGCAGAGATTGAATCTGTCTGTGTTCACAAACATGCTGGAACACCTCAACATACACATGTATACATTATCACAGCAACCTGTTTCTGCACCTGAGTGAAGGGGTCGTCTTCAGTAGAGTGAGTATGGGTCACAATCTGAGCTGTAGGCTTTGTATGTTGTATTTGCAGGAAAACCAGAGAAATACAGAGCTATGCTCCTGGACCAACACAAGGCTTCTGATTTTGTAAAGTGCTTTTTTGTGTATGTAACAAGGGTTCTTTGAATCATGTAAGGGTTCTTCAGCTCGGGCAGTAGCTGGTTCTATTTAGAAACTTTTCAAAAAGAGTTGTATATAGCACCCAAAAGGGTTCTTCAATTGTTACGATGTCAAGCTTGTAACAACAGAAGAACCCCTTTGGTGCTATATACAACCCTTTTTTAAAATCTCCATCAATCTGAAGAACGCTTTCATGATGCAAAGAACCCTTTAATCATGCAAAGGGTTCTTTGAGTGTTCATGGTTCGTTATAGCACCATTTCCTTTACTAAAGAACCATCTTTTCTAAGAGTGTAGATTGTGCATTGTCTGATTTACCCAGGCAGGTATGACCAGCCGGGAGCGGTCAGTTAGTCTGCTTACCTGCTGGCCGCACCGTTTGTGTGATGACAACAGGCATCCGGACCTGCCCTTGCCCTGCTACACCTCCTACCCTCTTAACACCCTACAGAGAGAGAGAACAAGAGAGATACAAACAGAGAGAGAGAAAAATGAATTTAAATGCTTTGGCAACACTGTAACTTAATATGATCATACAAAGTAAGCTTTTTTCAAGTTGCGGGCTGAGTTAAAAAAAGAGGAGGACAGTGTAGCAAACAATCTGGCTTTAAATGAAAGGAAAAATAATAGGAAGAAAATAATATATCACTCTAATCCCAACAAACACTTCATATTTTTACATTCTAACACGCAACTGACCTCTTAGTGACATTATATGTGGCAAACACTCGGGACTGAGAATGAAAAGATGAAGCAAAGACGAGTTAGAGAGAGACAGAGGGATGGAAAGAGGTAAGGGAGAAGGAACAAGAGGAAGTGATAGACACTGAGTGAGAGAGAAAGAGACATAGAGAAAGAGAGAGTAAGGAGAGGAAGAGAAAGTGAGAGAGAGATAGAAAGAAGAAAGGAAGAGCAAAATACTTAAGGAGAGAGAGACAGAAAGAGAAAGACAGAGACAGACAGAGGAGAGAGCGGGAGAAAGGAGCAAAAGGATGAACAAAAAAAAGAAATAGGAGAGAGACAGAAAGATAGGTACATGCGAGGGAGAGAGAGTAAGGAGAGGGAGAGAGACTAACAGAAAGAAAGAAAGAGAGGAGAGAGGCAAGAGAAAGACGTGATATATATATATATATATATATATATATACATAGAGAGAGAGAGAGAGAGAGAAAGAGAGAGAGAGAGAGAGAGAGGAGAAGGGAAGAGAATCAGAAAGAGTGGGGAGAAAGACATGGCGAGTGAGAGAGAGAGAGAGAGAGAGAGAGAGAGAGAGAGAGAGAGGAGAAGGGAAGAGAATCAGAAAGAGTGGGGAGAAAGACATGGCGAGTGAGAGAGAGAGAGAGAGAGAGAGAGAGAGAGAGCAGGGGAAAAAACAGAGAGAGAACAAAGAGAGAGAGAGTGTTCTAATAAACACGTGGCCCACTCTGTTTGGCCCCCAGTGTGGCCACAGGCCCCTCATCCATCCTGCCCTGTTCTCTCTCTCTCTCTCTCTCTCTCTCTCTCTCTCTCTCTCGTGCTGCATATTTCTCTGCCTTGTTTCTAAACGCCTTCTACACTATTGCTAACCAGGGACCACCAACCCCCCCCCAGCCCCTGCCAAACCCACCTAAGGGCCTCCGAGACAGGACAATACATTCAGCTCAGGGGACGAGGACTGAGCGGGGAGTGGAACAGGGAAGACAGTGAAGCAGACAGATAGACTGCGGGTGCATATATTGCTGAAATATTACATTCAGGCTGCCAGAAATGGCCCACATACTGTTTAGCTGAGAAAATGTCAGTTAAATGATGGCATGCTTTACAGGAACATTATAGAACATTAAAGTCAACACATTAAGGTCAACACAGAAAACATCTCTGATGAAAAGCGTTAGGTCAGCAAGTCTGCTTCAGGTAGGGAAGAGAAAAGGTTCAGCTAGTAGTTTGTCGATCACTAAACATATCATTTCACGTTTTTTATTAAATTAAAAATACATCGTTTAAACTCTCATTTTGCACAATGCTCAATGTTTCAAACATAGCACACATACACTTTCTTCTAAATCATAATTGCCTTTGACTTTCATTTACAATGCCCTCAAAAAAACGCTATTTTCATCTGTGTGAAAGGTGGAGAAACAATAAAGGAACAACATATGAACAACTCCAGAGAGTACTACAATGAAGGTAGTTTAATTCTTTAGTTCTGCTCAGCACACATCCAACAGCAGTAACTATGAGGTGGACTCCGGATGTTTCCGATCAGTGCATAAGCCAACTGCGCTTGAGCTTTAGGTCACAAACTGACATTATCCTTCAAAATTTTCTGACAGAGAGCAGAATTCATGTTTGCATCAACCAAGTCCTCCAGGTCCTGCATAAGCAAAGCAGCCCCAGACCATCACACTACCACCACCATGTTTGACTGTTGGTATGATGTTCTTATGGTGGAATGCAGTGTTAGCCAGATGTAACGGGATCCATTTCTTCCAAAGTTTTACCTTTGACTCATCAGTTCTCAGAATATTATCCCAAAAGTGTTGGGGGTCATCTAGATGTTTTTGGCAAAAGAGAGACAAGCCTTTCTATTCTTTTTGGTCAGGAGTGGTTTGCGTCTTGCGACTCTCCCATGGATGCCATTTTTGCCCAGTGTCTTTCTTAGTGTGGAATCTTTTACATTGACCGGAACTGAGGCAAGTGAGGCCTGCAGTTCTTTAGATGGTCATCTGGGTTCTTTAGTGACCTCCTGGATGTGTCGTCGACGCACTCTTGGTGAAATCTGGTCCACTCCTGGGAAGGTTCACCACTGTTCCAAGTTTTCTCCATTTGTGGATAATGGCTCTTCCTGTGGTTTGCTGGAGTCTCAGAGCTTTAACAATGGCTTTGTAACTCATTCCAGACTAGCAGATTTCAATGACTTTGTGCCACATCTGTATTTGAATCTATTTAGAATGTGGCATCATGTGCTGCTTTTTGAGAGCTTCTAGCCTGCTTCACATTGCCAGACAGGTTCTATTCTATTTCTGTTCTTTTGGGTACACAACACAACTTTTAAAGTCTTAACAGATTATAAAAGACTGGGCATCTCACACTATCAGACTGTTTTTGCAGATTTTTTTGGGAAACTGAAATATTGGGGATCACACACTAAATGATTAGGGATCACACACTACTCAGTCTTTAAGCTTTTGCGAACTCTCGCATTCTCCTGTTACTAGGAGTGGAGCAGCTCCTGCTGTTTTCTCTGTCGTTTGCACTGAAACAGTAAAGAAGCAGCAGGTAAACATGTTTAAGTGAGGCTCATGGATTTAAAAATGTGATCAGTGCGGTATTTTAAATGTACATAAACTCCATTGTGCCTTAAACTCAGCTCATTAAAAAGGTTTGCTCTACATGTAAGTGATTTTTCACCATTTTTTCTTTGTTTACTTGCTGTATATTTTTCTTTCGCGCTCTCAGTTTTCATTGGCTGGTGAAGGAGTTCGTTCAGACTGAGTCGTTGACCAGTTCACGCTAGATTAAGCTCAGGTTAGAGTCAGGTTAAAAAAAATCAAACCTGTTTGATAAACTCTGACTGGTCTGAAACGCAATCAGGAGGCCAAAAATCTGACTCTGCCCCCCTTGAACACTTCTGAGTTCTCTCTCCAACTGTCGACTCTGACTGACCCAAAAACTACAGACTAGAGCCAACTAGCACAGACTCGGCCAGGCTGAGAATCGGGGCTAAAATCGTGGTAAAAGTCGTGTAATGTAACCCCAGCTTTAATGTTTAGATTCAACAGGTCTGGGGGTGGGTAGTGAAATTGAACCCAATAGCCAACTGAATTTGGTTAACTGATTGATTTAGTAGCTAAAGGGGCGATTACCTTTTCACATAGGGCAGGTAGGGCTGAACAGCATTTTTCTTTCAATAAATGAAATCATTATTTAAAAACAGCATTTTGTGTTTATCTACCTCTGTCTGTTATCTCTGTCTAGTATTAAAAGTAGTCTAATGATCTGAAACATTAGATGTGACAAATATGCAAAAATAGAAGGAATTAGGAAGGGGCAAATACTTTTTCACAGCACTGTACACACACTGTGCCAAGTAAGACCCCATTACCTCTTCTAACTCAACTGCCCTGACGCAGGAACACAGGGGACAGCAGTGCCCCCTCGAGCGTTCATCCTCTCTGTCAGTAAACACTGGGCTCTGACCCTACTTACACAGCTCTGTGGAGACCCAGTCCTCTCTGACACACGCACCCAGACACATCCATACAGGCCTGCTGGTGCCCGGTCTGCTCAGGCCCCTGGCTCACCAACAGTTTACGGAGCTCCAGGGCCCTTCATGATTCAAGGAGCGATGAGTCATCTTCATTTCCTCCTCAACATCTCTCCATCTGCACGAAACCAGGGACAGCCATCACAGCTGCTGCTACAGCGCTCTGAAGGCTGTTAGACACCCAGTACAAAGCAAATGAACGTCATGAAAACGAAAACGGAAAAATGTGTCCTCTTCTCCTCCCTTGCAAAATGAACAATGGTGACCATTTTGTGGCTACTTTCCATTATGGAAAAGTCAGGAGCTGATGTTCCATTCAGGAGCCTGGATGTACGTGGCCCAGTTTGAGCCCCACTTCTACTTCTTATGGAGATACTGACATCAGCCATGACAAAGCAAGGGCAAATTGGTCCTCCTGACATTAGTCAGCAAGTTCTAGTTACACATGTGTTATACATGTGCTCCACTTATTTTACTGTCACCCAAATAAATCACACAAATAAATCTTGTTTGGTGTGTAAAGACCTCAAGAATAGGGCAATTCTAATCTTTACTCACAGCATAACTACAGCCCTGCTCACTCTGATCTCGGCCGTTTAGCTTGGCACAGACGGGCAGTAAACTGCCCGGAGAGTGGAGGGTTGTTTGGTGAAGCGTCGTTGGCTCACAGCCCGAGTTGCAGACTCCTGGCAGGAGGGTCACTCAGTGAGGCTGAGTTCGACTACAGGCAGCAAGCATTGGACATTACTGCATGGACTCTATGGGTTTAACTAAAGCATAATAAATTACACAGTCATAGACTTCACTGGAAAAAGATAAGCTAACTTTAACTTCATTAAAAAACACTGTGGAAAGCATGTCTGCTGGAAAAAAGAGTAGCAGTAAAAAGTAGGAGAATTTAAAACATGCAATGAAAAATGTCCAACTAATCATCCACAAAAAGATGCATTTTAACTGATGATTTTTTAACCATGATGAGACTCCACACTTCGGTTTCCAGTGACTGGTTGCACCACTGTTCTGTAGGGATGCCATGATCCAGTTTTCTGCCTGTCCTTCATCCTTTAAAATAAGTGTCTATTTCTGCTGTTTAATCCACTCATTTCTGTCAGTAACACAATTCCTGTATGCTGCTGTTGTGAAGGACATGACACGACAAAGCTGAAAATGAGATTTCTATTTAGTTTGTCAGCAACCGCCTTTTTGAACAAGCAAGTGCATGAAGAGGAATGAAAGTTACACACAGTTACATTTTATCATTACTTTGATCCAAACTGCCCTCTGCCTTGTTCTGTAGGGATGTTCTGATCCAGTTTTGCCTGGAAAACCCTTCAATATTAAGAATCTGCCAGTAGAGACCCCCCAGCATGGGAAATTTGTATTTTGGAGCATAATACAGCCACACAGCGCACACTTTAAGTTACTAAAACTAATCCAGGATTAGGGTATGTATGCAGGCTGCCAGTTACTTTAAAATGCTACAGTAAAATCAGTACATTTTAGTATGTACTGACTGTGATGGTCTGGACTAATAACACTTTTTTAAAATGACCAATTTTTTGTGTCTTTAACATATTAGCTTCATATTTTAAGCTGCTCAAAAATGCATGAAATACTGATTTTTTTTATTAATTTATTACTAAATATGAAGTGGCACAAGTAGAAGAGGTAAAATGATCTTAATAACAGATCAGATATAGCTTATCCTAATCCATTGCAATACACCTGGAGCAACTCTGATACTGTTCTCTCAGACTGGACCAGAACATCCTCACCTCTCTGGCTGGAGTGGCCTTCTAACCTCGACCCTTGGAGAGCTTTGAAGGGAAGCGAAAGAAGCTGAAAATCTGATATTACAGAGGGCAGGTCCTCTCTGAACACTAACAGCCTTGGACATACATTCCAATACTATTGAGCATTTCACTCTCCTTTACAGAGAAAAACACAGAGCGTCAGAAAAATGGAGAAAAAGGACAAGCAAGCATGTGAGAGAGCAAGAATGAGAAAGAGAGAGAGCAAGAATGAGAAAGAGAGAGATGCTGAAGCACCTACTTGTGGCAGCACAGTGGTGCTGTTGGGTTGCCGTACAGCGTTACCAGTGGCAACAGCCCCGGCGACAGCTCCAGTTGGGGTGATGCCGGTCTTGGCGGGCTGTAAAGGCTGCGTGAGGGACTGCTGGCTGTTCAACAGGGACAGCCGCAACGCCGGCAGACTTTTCTACACACAGAAACCAACCAAAACAAACATCTAATTAATGAGACGTGATCCAGTTAATTAACCAATGATTACTAATTCTGCTCAACAAAAACTGGAGCAAATAAACTTTATTTTATATGTTAAGTCATTGCAAATCAACAAAGATAGCTAGGAGTCCCTAAACTTATGACAGGAAGTGAAAGTTCAGAGCGTTACAGGCGTGAGATTCTCCGTTTCCACCCCAAACCAGCAGGAGAGAGAATAACCATTAACTTGCTTGCACTCACCTGTCTGATGCTGAAAGGCTACCGTGAGACAAAAACAACTAAGCTTACAAAGATTTTGCTTTCCCTTCTGTATTAGTGTTGTTTCAAAAGCGCACAGAACAGTCAGCATCTTTAGATCATGAGATGAATAAATAACCTTAGAGGCAGCTGGGAGCGAGCGATATGGCAAAAACATAACAGTGTGATACTTCAAGAATTTTCACGATACACAATATGCATCACGATATTTCGTTTGCCATATTTAAAAGTATTATAAAAACAAAAAAAAGAATTTTACTTAACATTTCATATACTGTATTAAATCCATTTAAACGGGGCTCTTTTTAATCAAACATGCACTTGTTTAGCGCTTCTTAAGTCCTGCCGATACCCACAATACGCTCAGAAAAGCTTACTGTGATGGGTCATTATTTATCACAATAACAATACATTTAGTCATTCTGCCCATCCCTGTTAGCGGCTATGTTTAGTTAAGGGTTTTTCCACTAATTTTTAAAATGTTTGCATAATTAAATCATTAAAATGTAAACAAGATCATTGAGAGTGGTTTGATTTCTAGAGAGATTTGCAGTTCAGTGGTGGTGAAAGGAACCAGAGGTCCGAAACGTTTAACGCCTCACAGAAAGCTGTTATACAAAATGGTTACAAATATGCTGCCTGATGCTTAACACATTGTTTTATGGTAATTATGGTAATAAGTTCTGGTCTAAAACATATCTTTTCAATCGATTCATGGCGGAGAGGTACATGCAGGGTGTTGTGAGGCCAAACAGTCACCAAAGAAAACTCACTTTTTCAGATTTCCCATTATTTTACCATAATCAGAGTTACATATAAACTCAGAAGACAGGTGTAGGTTCACTGGTGGTTTTGGATAGTGAAAAAATGACTATATTTGTGCTGCAGACATTGTGACTCCTGGTTCCTATCACAGTAAAGAAATCGGAGCCAGTACATTTCTCTAAAATGCACCCTTTCACATCAAACTGCGCTGAATGACTGTTCACACTGATTTCAGTGGGTTTAGTGGAAAAACCTTTTCCTCAGCACCACTTTCCATGTTGCTTCATACTGCAGGCATAGAGGCACATGAGTACCTCTAGTGTTAGCCATTCAAACAAAGGCCACAAAAAGCCTTATGAGCTGCTGTGTTCTGTATAACTTAGTGCAGGACTGCGTGTGTACATGTCTATTTTAGGAGCTTTTTGAGGTAAGCCCACTAACATCGAGTGACAGCACGGGTGCGCTGGCGTCGTGGAGGACGAGGCAGGGTGGCAGGATGTGACACGTGTCATGCCTGGCTGGACACGCCCTCTGGCTATTGGCTGGGGCGGCCAGGGGGAGGGGCTATCGCTGCACGACTGGACCCTCGCCAGAGGAGCTGCTGTTGCCATGTTTGTGTGTTAGTGTGCACCTTACCTTTAGGGATGGCACCGGTTAGAGGGGCACTACAGCCAAAATGAAAATTTTAACAGTCGATCCATCTGTTAAAAACACGCCTACTTGCCTTCTTCAGTTGTGCCACAAAAGGCTTCCAAATGAGTTCCGGTTTAAAGATTAGGAAAACCTTCTCCTGACAATGCATCTTGATGGCAGGGGGAACATTTAAATAACTACAACTGCTTTGGGGTTGAATTTTATTTGAAATGTTGTTTTATTTTATTTTCTTCAGCTGCTGAATGCAGAAGGAAGCCAAACATACTATTACAGCCATGAAACTGTCTTTAAATTGTTGTTACAATGGAGAGAATGGATTACTTAAATGACTGAAATGACTCATCAGATGAGAACAACAAGCTAAAAACCCAAGGATTATGTGCTAAATAAACAAAGAATCGAAACAAAGAATGTGATTTTGTTGAACAACTGAGGTAAAAGTTACGCTAATGCAAATTTTTTAGCCTACAGATCGGTGGCCAGGCTAGTAGTCAGGATTAGTTGACACCACAGGGATTCCCAATGGTTGCACAATGTATTTACAGAATGCATGCTGGGTATTGTAGTGAGAGAACATTGATGAAAAGTGCCAGTTAGGGCTTTGTGTGTTTTATGCTGAGGAAAGTCACTATGAAAGGTTTTTACTGTCTTTGTCTCACCTTGAGGAAAGGGACCAGGTAAGGCTGGGGTGACGACTTTAGCTCAGACTGTAGCCGGTTGGTGAATTCCTCCGGTTCAATTTTGGCATCCTGAGAAAAACAAGTAAACAAAAAGAGAAAATAAATATGTTCAGTATAGGTTTAACCTCAAATCAAATCAAATCACGTCACATTTACACAGGTGCAAAGGTGAGTGAAAATCTTAAGTGCATAGCCCCCTTGTAGTAGCTAAATACAAAAAAATATATAACAAAAAGCAGATATATATACATCGACTCTAATTGTATACACATATACACAATATACACTTGTATTGCACTATTTCCAATGTACAGTTGTAGAGTAAGAAGTTGTTAAATAGACATTTCCGTATGTGCAGTTTGTGAGTCTGGGGTAGATAATAAATGAGATGCAGGTACACAGGGGATAGAATATTGATAGAATATTGATATAGAAATCTTCCAGATCATACAAGATATGGTTAGAAAATGTACAGATGTATATGTGAAAGTATAGAGTTGCTAGATTGAAGGTGCAGTAAGATCAGAGTAAGTCTGTTGATGTGAATGAGGTGTAGATTGTCCAGGGAGATCATCATGATGATGATTCAGAGGTGTAGAGACAGGCCTATAGGCCGATAATATAGACCAAACTTTTGTCATGATCTAAAAATTATGCATACAGAAATGTCAATCTCCAAATCAATACAGTCATATGCAAAATTTAGATGCTCCTATTCAAACACACATTTTAACACACAAGTATAGTTTATTTACCAAGTTCAACATATTGGGGGGGAGTACAACTTAAAGGTGGCTTGAGCAAAAGTTATATCACAATTTTTATTTTATGTTTTTTTTTGGTTAAACTCAACAAATGCATTATTTAAATTTGCTCCCTACAGAGGAGGTGTTAACTTATTTTCACTTAGAAAATGAACAAAACATGTAACTTGATCGGGGATGTTCAAAGTTTGGCGCTTTATGTCAGCTGCCCTGCGCCATGTGTTAAAATTTTATGATGAATGCAGAAACAGAAACACTCCAAAATTACCTGTAAATTAATGGTGTTCCATCAACTTTCATTCAAAGTTTTGCCTTCTACTGTAATGTTATCATGCTGGAGATACAAGCTTTTGGCGTGAGAGGGACAATACACTGTTTATACTCTTAATCTGAAATACAGTTTCACACAAGATTAGCCGGTTTTCTTTCGACCATATATCTGCTGTATTTCAGCGCTCTTACTACCTCAGACCCACAGGAAACTCTCATTACATACAGTATCCTATCTGTGAGCTGTCTGCTGCCCCCTGCAGGTTCACTGTGAGGGCTACAAACTCCAACAGCTAGAGTAGCAAAGTTTTCACAAACTCTGGTTTAGAGCAGAAATACTATCGAGCATTCTATTGTTTATTTTGATAATTAAGTAATGGTCATTTTTTAAAAAGTTAAACAATTAAAATAGACAAAACTAAAAAAGACTGCAAAATATTCAAATAGAAACATACAAACTATGAAGCATTTAAAGCAGGAGTGTCCAGTCTTAACCACAAAGAGCCAGTATGGTTGCAGGTTTTTATTCCAATCAGGCAGAACCACACCTGGTCAGTTACTGAAGACAGAGACTAAATGATTAAATGAGTGGAACCAAGCGTGCTCCTGCTTGTTTGGGATTAAAACCTGCAGTCGCACTGGCCCTTCAGAGATAAGACTACTGATTTAAAGTGACCTCTCTAAAGAAAAAAAAATCAACTAAAAAAGGCCAAAAATGTGCATATGAGTGTGTACGTCCATCAGGCCCTTTTCTCCCTGCAGGAGAATTTAAAAATGTGTATTATCATCATGTAAATTGCTGACTAAACACTTCTGATTCACTCGAAAAGTATATATCACTGCTGTCAGAACAAAACCTTCAAAATCTCCAAAATGACAACTTTACAGCAGAAAGAAAAAACATACTTTACTTTTAATGTAAGTCAATGGAAGCAGACATTTTTCAGAGTATTTTTGTGCTGTTTCTTTTGGTCCACTCTTCATAACATTTACACACAATGTAAAGGACAACAGGCATTTTCACATTATATAAAAAACGGAAAAACAGCAACAATGGACATTTTTTAATAGAGTGAGTGTGTCCTCGTTTACACTGAAGATTGAAAAAACACAGTTTGGAGAAACTGAAGTGATTGTTGTGATTTTTTCCGTTTTGTTTAAATGTCTAACTGATATTTGGTCACATCAATCCAAATATTCCTAAAATTCCCTGAATTCCCATCCTCAGGTGGTCTGGACTCACCAGCAGGTCCTGCACCAGCGCCTTCACGTTCCGGGACGTCTCCGGGGAGGGGGAATTATGGGATGCCAGTTTGATTAGTGTTGCCAAAAAGTTCTTGCACTTTTTCACGTTCTCCTGCATTTCCTGAGGAAGAATAAAAAGAGCCATGAGGCTGAGACGAGGCCAGGTCACGCTGTCAGACAGGCAGTGTGTGTGAGAATTTGAATTTAGCACCCGCTGGGGATAAGCCCCGCCCACAATCAGCTGTGTGTACGCCGGTGTGGCTCAGAGTGCGTGAGGGTGTCTGTGCGTGTGTGTGTCCGCTGGGTAGTTCCCAGCTGTGTTAACCCGTGTGTGTGTGTGTGTGTGTGTGTGTGTGTAAGACTCGGCCTTCTGGCAGCTGTGAACATAAATGTGTGTGTGTGTGTGTGTGTGTGTGTGTGTGTGTACAAGTGTGTCTCTAGAACTAACCCAGCCTGCTGGGTAAGAACAACCCAGAGGGGGCAAGAAGTCACTCAGTCATTCAGAGAGAGAGGGAGAGAAAGAGAGAGACAGAGACAGAGAGACAGAAAGTGAGAAGGAGAAGAAAAGAACAGAGAGGAAGAAAAGAGAAAGAGAGGAGAGAGACAGAGAGAGAGAGAGAGAGCGAGACAGAGTTGGGGGGGAGAGAGATGCTAAAATTTAAACCTGGAGGGCACACGGACCTGGGAGATGACAGGAGCTCCAGGGGCGGGGCCGGCTGCGCTGGGAGGGGCCAGCGTGGGCTGACCGTGGGGCCCCTGGGGGCCCAGTGCTGCGGGGACCTGCTGGGGAGCCGTCACCGCCACGGCCGTTGCCGCCAACGGCGCCCTCTGGAGGAGAGAGAAACAGGCAGAGAGATAAACAGGAGCTGACAATGAGCCTGCAGCAAGGCCACACACAGCAGCGCAGAGGCAGCCCACCACTACTGTCACATCGCATGTCCCCAGAGCACGGCATGACGGAACTGAACACAGACACGGGACGAGAGAGAGAGAGAGAGAGAGAGAGAGAGAGAGAGAAGGTGGAATGAGGGAAGACATCAAACCATTAAAGCTAGGGATGTAGTGAAATTGGTATTGGCACCAATAACACCCTTATTAAAGTGGAATTCCACCAATTTTTCTACATTTTTGTGGAATCGATTCATTAAGATGTGCGCAAAGTCATTCAGAGTGGTTTGGCGTGAAACGCTCTGTTCTTACAGAGTCAGAACTGTTCACAGTGGTGGTGACAGGAACCAGATGTCCACCTCTAAAAGCTCCCTCACAGAAAGTTATATGAAATGGTTACGAATGCGCTGCCCGATGCCTGAGACACCGTTTTACGATAGTTTTGTGATAGACGTTATAAATAGCATTATTCCTGGTTCCTATTACCCTCACTGTAAAGAAATCTGAGTCAGTAAGTTTCTCTTAAGTAAATTTATTCACATCTCAATGACTGAATTATTGAACTGAAACTGTTCACTTCATTTGCTTCATATCAACATATTTATTTATTTTTCTTTTCTTTTCTAGTTACGTGTGTTAAGGTCTTGTGTTAGCTTACACATAGACAAATGATTCCAAGCAGTTCAACACAGTGAGGTATACAGAGCTGAAACTGAAGAAGAAAAAAAAGTGCTCCATTTTTGGATCAGTTCAAACCCTAAGCTCAGGTATCAGAGCGGAATTCGGTGCACCCTTAAACTCACACCAGCTTTTTGTCTTATTAACACAAATGTTAAGTTATATTGTGTATCAGTGATGGTAATAATGTGTAAGACAGCATCGTCATTACAACTAAAGCTGATAAAGATATTTGAATTTGTAATGAGAGAGAGAGAGAGAGAGAGTAAAAGAACAAGAGAGGGCTAAAGAAACACACGATGTCGGACAGAACGATACAGCAAAACTGAGAGAAGGACAGAAAGATGGAAACAAGAAGAAACAGAGACCTGGGGAGACGAGAGTTGTAAAGTAGGGGTGTCAGACTCCAGTCTTGGAGGGTCGCAGTACTGCAGAGTTTTCCTTTTACCATATTTAACACAACTAATCTGTTAATTCACCTATCCAGGCTCCGCCCACAAATGCATTCTTTCATGGGGCTGAAGTTAGACCCAAACCAAGAGCCTGTTTTGGACTCTGGACCAATTACAGAATCGAAGGCAAGCTTGTCCTCTCATTTCGTAGTGGGGAAAAAGGTAAACAAAAGTAAAACAGAAACGACGTACGCACTGATGTGTTTTTTAGGAGAGTAAAATCGGATTTGATCTGATCAAACATATTTTACTAAAAAGGGTAAATGGAATCTAGCCAAAGTTTATCTAGACACGATCCATTATTGATACATATCGTCGCTGTCCAAAGAAAACCGTCTCCAATTTTATTGATTTTTAATTTTCTACATCATTTCAACTCACCAGCCGTCCTTCACGTTGTGTGAAATTTCATGATGAATGGACCAATAGAAATGCTCTAAAACCACTTGGAATAAAATCTCTTTACATTAAGGTAAGAGTGTTTCTCTCTTCTCCTGTAAAGTTACTATTTTGGAGGTACTTGTTTTCTTTGGACAGCGACAATATGTTGATGTGAGGTGTAAAGAGGCTCTGAGTTAGAAAGCACTAACTCGATTATAGGACGAGAAAAATCAGGGATGCACCGATATAATATTTTATTATATATTTTCCTTGATAGAGCGATACGACATGTTCGATAAACGTTCGATATAATACACCATTCTCACACTTCTGTCACACGACACTACTCTGCTGTCGCCAGGAGAGGGCGCACTTCCGAGTTTTTCTACATGATTAGAGAGGGAGGGGCCACGAGTAAGATGAGTCTTTAGCAACGGCTGAAATGTGGAGTTACACATTCCCTGCTTGAGCGGAGTGACCGGTGATCTGCTCTCCTGTGACCGAGTCTGAGTGACGAGGTCAGTGGCGTATCTGTACTGACCTACAGTGAACTCACCTCTTTCTGTACATCCTAACAGCTTTAGCAGCGCTAAATCACAATCCTCACAACTACAGCCCTGTTACAGCGCTCGGACAGTCATATTTAAGTATTAGTGCATTCACAAGCAACGAAAGTGAAAGAAAGAAGTGGGTTCATGTAAATTACGGGAGAGCACTAGCTTTCCAGGCTAGCTGTTTTTAGCAGCTGGCTAACTTGAAGCAGCTCTGTCACTCCACAACATGGAGAACTGATGATACTGTGGATCAAACACGACACAAAAGCACCGCTTTCAGTTTAAACATACCTAAAAGGAGGTTCTGTTTGTCTGGTGTTGATATTTTGCGGTTCACCACTTAAACTACTACAATTGAATATCCAGTCGTCTAGCTGGTGTCTGAATACTGTGATGTCATGTGTAGCGGGGTAGCCGAGCGCTCGGCACCAGCTAAAATAATCTGTTTTCTTTCTTAAATTATGACTATTACAAAATAGCCGTGCTTTTCCAGCTGGTAAAAACAGCTCAGCAGACACTCTCTCCCACTCTCCCGTGACAGATCTGTGAAATGTCCCACTGTTTGAGTGTTTGTTGTGTTCTGACCATAAAGGATAGTTTAAAACAGCGATTAATCACCCAGGAGCAAAAATCAGCCTTCAAACTTGAAAGAAATAATGATTTGACATTTATCACGATACGTGTCGATATCGAACGATATGAATTTTGTTTATCGTGATAACATTTTTGGCCATATCGCCCAGCTCTACTTGGCATTGTAGACCAGCCTTAACTACACATTCTGATGTATTCTGACATCGGTTTAGAGTATCAGCCAAATCCAAACTTCTGCTTAACACTGATCATATTTTCAACCGACTGTCTGCTGAGACCAATTTGATTCCTATATTATTATGTATATCTATCCTAATATCATGCATACAACAAAAACAGCATTTATTTTGAATTAATAATGCATGCTAAGTTTCTCATTAGGTTGAATGGCATTTTGTAACATTCAGTAAAGCTTGTCCAACCTTTAAACAGCAGCTATGAAAGAACTCAATTGTAGGTAGAGGATGGATAAGTCAACTGTAAAGAGCTCTAAGAGGGAAACACTCCTTTCTGCAGGACTGGGACCCTCTGGGACGCAAGTCTGACCATCCTGGATTAAAAGCTTAGGGGTGTGCTCACAGTGAGGGCAGCAGAAGCAGCAGTCGAGGTCTGAGGAGCAGGACTCGGGGTGGGGGACTGAACCACTTTTGACTGGAGCGCGGGACCAGCCCGAGAGGCCTGAGAGGAGACAGGAGACTGTGGGAGGGCGAAGAGAGAAGGCAGAGGGGAGCAGGAGGAAGGTGAGCAAGAAGGATGAAGGGATGGAAAGGAAAAAGAGAAAAGGTTCAGAGTGAAACAGCAAACTGACAACCGTAAACCGTGTTCTCTGCAGAGAATCGTGTGTGTGTGAGTTCATATTACCCATTACTGTTACTATATATACAGTAAACTCTCATACAACATGGATATAAATGTAAGAGACTATTTACAAAAGGCTACCTATATTTGTTTTATTCAATACTTCAACAATTCTATGAACAAAAAAATATTAAATGATAAGCAATATGCACAATTACCTCTTTTTATTAATTTTTCAACAAGCTACCTCTCTTGAAAGTGATCTCCACTTTGGCAAAATCATGAATTCCAATTATTAATTCTATTACTATATAATTCTGAATGTTACACAGCTTTCTCTGTCATTTTTGGAATCTCCTGCAGCTCTGATCCTCACTTTGCATCCAATATTTCAACATTTTTATTAACAGCTTTCTAGTGTCCAACAAATCATTTCAAGTCAAGTCAGTTTATTTGTATAGCACTTTTCACAAAAGGTGTTGTCACAGAAAAATCCAGGTCTGAGGCCCCATGAGCATCGCCATTGGCGACAGTGGCCTGGAAAAACTCCCTAAAAGCAAAGAGGAAGAAACATTAAGAGGAATCGAGACTCAAAAGGGGAACCCATCGTCCTTTGGTCGACACCAAACAGCAAACAATGTTAGTATAAAATATTAAACTACAGAAACGGGGAAAACCGGTGAAGCAATGGTTATAATTAGATAGTTTGAGTCTGTGCAGCAGGAGTATCATCAGAAAGGTCAGTTCATGCAGGTGAGGTCTGCACAGCATTGTCCAGTGAGAAGCTCCATGGTGGTCAAACCAGTCCAGAAGGCCGGCGAGCAGTGGGCACCCGATTTGAAACCTACAAAGCTGCACAGCACTAACTAGTCAGAATAATTTAATACATATATTTGATAATTAAAGACATCCAAACTGGCTTTAATTATTAAAAACATTGATCGTAAACTTCTGAATAGTAATGTCAATCTTGAACAGCAGTGTAGAAAAACGTAAGAGACCACAAAACCGACAGTCGGCTTCTATCATGGCCACAACCTCAACAACTTGTTGCATTAGAGCAGAGAAAACAATAAACTGTGCACAGCAGCTGGTCACCATCAATGGTTTGGGAGACCCCCTGCTCTAAATCAGTGGTTTGGGAGCCCCCTGGAGGTGGAAACAGGGTACTGCAGGGTTTCCCTGGATCAGGGTGGACCAATTACAGAACAGCTTTAGAGGACTGGGACACCAAAACGGAAACACTGCTGATACTGACAAAAATGAAAGCAAGTCACAAACTATTCAGTACCACAAATTAAGCATGCTAACCACCCCCAGTTTAGCTTTCACTGACTGCAGACAAACAATACATGTTAAGGAGAGGCCTCCAACCAGGGCCTTGGAGACTTCGATAGAAGTTAGAGCCCAGCTGTAATCGGCCACATCATCAGTGTTTTTCAGAGGAGCTTTATGAGCTGGATAAGGTGTTTACACACAGACTTCTGTGTAATTGTAGACATTCGTGAGTGTGCACGAGCAGCAGTACTGACTTGACCCTCAGCATTAGCTGCTAAGTAAACACAGCCAGCCAGTAAGACAGCGAATCAGCCAATTTGGCCACTTCAGGCCTTTTTAGAATAGTTGCAAACAATGAAAAAGAAGAGTCAATTAAATCATTAATCACAATTATTTAGATGACAAATAACCGTCAGCTCAATTTTCATGATCGTGACCGACCTAGACTGTACAAGTAATACACAGAGTTGCCAGTTTATTAGGTCCCCCTACATTGTATCTACATTTGCTGGCAATTTTATCTGAATAACTTACCATACAGTAGAACATGGCATAGGCAACAACAATAAATGAACATGTATTTTTATATATAACCAAATATATTTGAAATTGCATTTATTTTAAAATGTATGGGGAAATATTACACCTACAAATGTTCGATACAAAAACAAATGTATGTAAATATACTTTTCCAATACATTTGAAAATGTATGAGAACAGCCAAAGTACTGTCTAATGCACTTTACTGTCTGGATAACTTTTGAAATTAATTTATATTCCAGTGATTTCATTTGAATTATTAGCAAAGGAACCTTTAACATGAAAAATGCAAGTGTTTTAGGTATTGATACTCTGTGAAAATGCAGTTATGATTTGATAACGATCAGGCATAACATTATGAGCACCTCCTTGTTTCTACGCTCATTGTCCATTTTATCAGCTCCACTTACTATATAGGTGCACTTTGTAGTTCTACAGTTACAGACTGTAGTCCATCTGTTTCTCTGATACTTTGTTAGCCCCCTTTTACCCTGTTCTTCAGTGGTCAGGACCCACATGGACCCTCACAGAGCAGGTACTATTTGGGTGGTGGATCATTCTCAGCACTGCAGTAACACTGACGTGGTGGTGGTGTGTTAGTGTGTGTTGTGCTGGTATGAGTGGATGAGACACAGCAGTGGCTGCTGGAGTTTTTAAACACTGTGTCCACTCACTGTCCACTCTATTAGACACTCCTACCTTGTCAGTCCACCTTGTAGATGTAAAGTCAGAGACGATAGCTCATCTGCTGCTGCACAGTTTGTGTTGATCATCCTCTAGTCCTTCATCAGTGGTCACAGGACGCTGCCCACAGGACGCTGTTGGCTGGATATTTTTGGTTGGTGGACTATTCTCAGTCCAGCAGTGACACTGAGGTGTTTAAAAACTCCAGCAGCACTGCTGTGTCTGATCCACTCAGACCAGCACAACACACACTAACACACCACCACCATGTCAGTGTTACTGCAGTGCTCCCCAAATAGTACCTGCTCTGTGAGGGTCCATGGGGGTCCTGACCACTGAAGAACAGGGTAAAAGGGGGCTAACAAAGTATCAGAGAAACAGATGGACTACAGTCTGTAACTGTAGAACTACAAAGTGCACCTATATAGTAAGTGGAGCTGATAAAATGGACAATGAGCGTAGAAACAAGGAGGTGGTCATGATGTTATGCCTGATCGGTGTGTGTGTACATGGTTAATGCAAAGCACAATGCAGATCACAGAAGTCAGTACCATTCATTCAGCTTGTGTATATTAAGTTATATCTGCAACCTTTATTAAAACTACATACAACTGAATTAAATAATAACAAATACAAATAAATGCATTTTAAAAGTATATTTTACAAATATATTTCTTGGCCATTTTCATACACTGCAAAAACATATTTGATTAATTCATTTGGATTATATATCTTTTCCATATGGGACTGCAGGTCTACAATTACAGCCTCAGAAATATCTCCTGAAATGTGAATAATTTATAGTTAAAGGTCATTTTGTCTGGAAATTAACCTGATGAAAGGTAGTCTCTGAGTTTCGCACTGTACTGTGTCAGGAGATCGTCCATCTCTCTATGAATATACGCCTGTGAGGAAGACGACAGACAGCAAACCCTGAGAGATTTGGAGAGAAGGAAGAGCTAAAGGGAACTGCACATACTCTCTATCACACTGTGTGATGCCATCACGCCGCATCTCTCAGGTGGGATTGAAAGATGCTGTTCACTCTTTAAAACAATCAGGCAGTTGGAGGATGAATGATTTAACACATTCAGAAGGAAGAAAGAGAAAGAGGAGTGCTTTCAGCCACAGAGAGAGTGAACAAATGAGTGAGAGAGTAAAATAGAAAAGAGCAGAACAGGTAAGAACTTTGGTGAGATGACTGTGGACCTGGACTAAGAAATAAGACGTTGTAGCCAATGATCGTCATGCAGCTACGGCACCAAAATGTGTGGAGAAATAAATCCAAATAAGGACCCAGATAAGCTTTATCCAGATCAATCTAACATAGAGAAAATCTAAACTGAGGTACCTTCTAAAAAGTTTTATTGTCACTATATGAATTTATGTCTAACCTTTTAAAATCTAAAATATCTCTGCTCGTTTCTGCTTAAATATAAGCTTCACAATGAAAAGGAACAAAGCAGATCAAATTACAGCCTCTTATATTCAATTATGGTTCTGTGCTGCCACCTTGTGGTAAAGTCACAAATTCACTGAAAAAGTGCTCATCACAGCTCAGGACGAACACATACTTCCAAAAATGATCCAGCTTTCTATTTTTTTAATAGAATCTATATGGATCCAAGAACAAAACAGAACACAAAACATGCAAGAACTGACGACATTCATGATACGCAAAGGAAAGTCGTGATTTATGATGGGGCTAAAGGTCCAACTGGTAAGACTTGATAAAACAGTGCGACTAAATACATTTCTAAATGTGATCAGTCATAACATTCTGATTGATTTCGTTGACTTTCCAAAAACGACTACTGAGATACTGTGATGTGTGCTGGTTCATGGCTCTTACTAAAAGCTGAAAAACAATTTATGATGACACTACAACAAACATCTGTCTAAAAATCAGAGCCTGATAATACCAGCTGATACTGACGGCCCACATGGGTTTATCGATATTAGAATTACTGCAATAATAATTACCCATTTTTTTGTCCTTTGTGGCAACACTGGGATTTAAACTCAGACACAGCAGTGCTGCTGGAGTTTTTAAACACCTCAGTGTCGCTGCTGGACTGAGATCCAAAAACATCCAGCCAACAGCGTCCTGTGGGCAGTGTCCTGTGACCACTGATGAAGAACTAGAGGATGACCAACACAAACTGTGCAGCAGCAGATGAGCTATAGTCTCTGACTTTACATCTACAAGGTGGACCAACATGATAGGAGTGTCTAATAGAGTGGACAGTGAGTGGACACAGTGTTTAAAAACTCCAGCAGCACTGCTGCGTCTGATCCACTCGCACCAGCGCAACACACACGAACACACCACCACCACATCAGTGTCACTGCAGTGCTGAGAATGATCCACCACCCAAATAGTACCTGCTCTGTGG